AGCTTCTGTTCAAGAAAGAATATTCCAAAGCAGCAACTGAATTTTGCACAAGGCTCAGTTTAAGAGTTTAGATCAACCTAGGGTTGCCAGTTCTGACCTGAAAAAAAAATCTAAAAAACCATTGGGCAGAAGCAAAGAGAGAGTTCTCATTCGCGGACATCTAGATTTTCATTATATGCCTTACCCTTAAGATAAATAGACCAATAATTCTCAACCTTGACATCTTTTAAGATGTGTGAACTTTAACTCCTAGAATTCTCCAGCCAGAATTCTAGCCAGAAGTCCATACATCTTAAAGGTTGCCAAGACAAATGGAAGTTTGTAATTTTGGAAAAGTGTGTGTGTATTTATTATGTACACAAATCTTCATAAATTAAGTAAACATTTATGAACATTTAAATGTGGTATATAGATGCGGATGTATCTTTACATATTAAGTGTATTTGTAATTATTCCATTGCTACCTATTTTCTTGTCTTTGTCTTGCAAGGTGTATCACAACTGGGAGGGATTGTAAGAGTCCCCAATCAGAAAAAAACATGCAAGTTGGAAAAAGTTATTCATTCCACAATTTTCTGCCCTGTGACCTATTCCAATGCAAGGGAAGCAGATGTGATTCAACAGTGTGATGGATCATTTGACATTCAAGAGCAACATCCAGTAACTGAAGAATTTTTCCTTTATTTTCTCATTATCAAGAAATATTTTTAGATCATGCTCGATAAAAGGTGTTATAATGTTTGAGTGTTTTTCCTTGTTCATGTTACTGTAAACATGCCTAAGTTGTGAAGAGATTGGGTAACCCTTTGATATAGTATCACTCCTCCACCTGCATGGCTTCTTCTTCTACTTGAAATCTCAGGAAATTGTATGATTGCACGTTATATGACTACAAGCATGACTACACCTCTGGTTTCTGGGACACATCTAAGGGCTCTGGGTTAAACTGAAATGATGCAAGTATGTCTCTTCTGGTATATTTCTTGTGGTGGCTAAGATAGCCCAAGGAAGTACTTACTAAAGGCTTTATGCATTATCAGTCTACAGTTTTAACAGAACACTTGAAGAAATTTCGGTCTTTCCAGTTACCAAGTGCCAATTACTGTGTTTGCCAACTATAATGTTTCTAATAGTGTGGCATTGCCCTCTAGTGGCTTGAATATATATATGCTCATTGTTCCTAGTCCCAAATAATAGTTTTGCTTTTAAAAAAAACGTAGCACTCAACTTAATAAGATGTAGCAACTCTATCATCTTGTTTCCAATTTCTGTTTCCGTTTACCCAATGTAACATATTAGTACCCTACTCAAATTTGATAATCCTCAGCATTAAAATCCATGAAGGGTATAGTAAAAACAGGGAAATTTTTGCAATCTAAATCATGTTTGCTGATCTGTCTGATGCCTAAAAATCACCTGGAAAAGGGAACATTCAACCCATTTCAAAGTGCTTCTCAAACTGACCAGTAGGACTGAAACTTAAGAAGAAAAAGGGAAAAGACATGGCACGGCAGAAGTAATTACCATATTTTTTGCACTATAAGATGCACCGGACCATAAGACACACATTAGCTTTAGAGGAGGAAAACAAGAAAAAAAAATCTGCCTCCCAGCATCCATCCGAGGTGAGCCGAGGTGGCACAGTGATTGAGTGCAGTACTGCAGGCTACTTCAGCTGACTGCTAGCTGCAGTTCAGCAGTTCAACTCTCACCAGGCTCAATTGACTCAGCCTTCCATCCTTTCGAGGTGGGTAAAATGAGGACCCAGATTGTTGGGGGCAATATGCTGACTCTGTAAACTTCTTAGAGAGGGCTGTGCAAGCACTATGAAGCAATATATAAGTCTAAGTCCCAGCACATGGCTCATCAGGGCTCCGCTCCATTGCATCCATCACCGGTCAACTGAGTGGAGCTGCCGCCGCCACCAGGGAACACTGGAGCCTTTGCTGCTGAGCAGCTGATTGGCGGTTGGATCGGCCTCCCGGAATACCACCAATTAGCTGTTCTAGGTGGCAACAATCACTGCCACTTGCTGCTGCCAATCATCGCCGATTGCCATCGCTGCTGCCGGCAATTGGCGATGCCCACCGCTTAGAACAGCTGATTAGTGGTATCCCAGGAGGCTGATCCAACCGCCAGTCAGTTGCTCGGCAGCGTAGGTTCCAGCGTTCCCCGGCAGCAGTAGTGACAGGCTGCCGCACCAAACCCCCTTCCCCCCGCCACAATATTTGCTCTATAAGACACAGACATTTCCACCCACTTTTGGGGGGGGCAAGTGCGCCCTATAGTGTGAAAAATATGGTAATATATCACATACGTTATCAAATGAGACCCCGGTACCTGGAGGAAGCTGTCTATCTGGACCCGTACCAGTCGGGCTTCAGGCAGGGGTACAGCACAGAAACGGCATTGGTCGCGTTGGTTGATGATCTCTGGAGGACTCGGGACGGGGGTTGCTCCTCTGTCCTGTCCTATTAGATCTCTCAGCGGCTTTTGATACCATCGACCATGGTATCATGCTGCAGCGGTTGAGGTGGTTAGGAATTGGAGGCACCGTGTTACGGTGGTTCTCCTACCTCTCCGACCGCTCGCAGTTTGTGTTGGCAGGGGGGCAGAGGTTGACCTCGAGGCGCCTCGCTTGGGAGATGCTGCAAGGGTCGGTCCTATCACCCCTTCTGTTCAACATTTTTGTGAAGCCGCTGGGTGAGATCATTTGTGGTTTGGGGGTAAGAGTCCATCAGTACGCTGATGACACCCAGCTGTACATCTCCACCCCAAACCACCCCAATGATGCCCTTGATGTGATGTCCCGCTGCCTGGAGGCAGGTCTGGATGGGGAGAAATAGGCTCAAGCTCAACCCTTTCAAGACTGAGTGGCTGTGGCTTCCGGCGTCCCGGTATAGTCAGCTGATCCCATCGCTGACTATTGGGGGTGAATCTTTGCCCCCCACAGAGAAGGCTTGCAATCTGGGTGTCCTCCTGGACTCACGGCTGTCTTTAGAAGAGCATATGACGGCCGTAGCCAGGGGGGCTTTTTATCAGGTTTGCCTGATTCGCCAGTTGCGTCCCTTTCTAGACCAGGACACTTTGTGCACGGTCACTCACGCCCTCGTCCCCTCCCGGCTGGACTATTGTAATGCTCTCTACATGGGGCTCCCCTTGAAGAGCACTCAGAGGCTCCAACTGGTCCGTAACCTCGTTACGCCCATGTAACACCTCTCCTGCGCGAGCTGCACTGGCTCCCAGTGGTCTTCCAGGTGCAATTCAAGGTGTTGGTCACCGCCTTTAAAGCGCTCCATGGCATAGGACCAGGATATTTACCGGACCGCCTTCTGCCACCAATAGCCTCCCACCGACCAGTCCACTCCCACAGAGAGGGACTCCTCAGGGTATCGTCGGCCAAGTTATGTCGGCTGGCGATACCCAGGAGGAGAGCCTTCTCTGTCGGAGTTCCTGCCCTTTGGAATGAATTGCCCCCGGATATTTGTAACATCTCTGACCTCTGGGTCTTTCGCTGGGCCCTCAAGACCCTACTGTTCCGACAGGCAGGGCTGTCTAACTGAATGATTTTAAATTGGGTTTTAATATTGGGTTTTAAAATTTGGCCAAAACTATTTAATGATTTTAATTAATTTTAACTATGATATTGTATATTTTTGTTTTTAATCTTGGCTGTACACCGCCCTGAGTCCTTCTGGAGAAGGGCGGTATATAAATAAAATTATTATTATTAATTATATTATTATTATTATTATTATTATTATTATTATTATTATTATTATTAAGGCGCCTCGCTTGGGAGATGCTGCAAGGGTCGGTCCTCTCCCTCTTCTGTTCAACATTTTTGTGAAGCCGCTGGGTGAGATCATTTGTGGTTTTGGGGTGAGAGTCCATCAGTACGCTGATGACACCCAGCTGTACATCTCCACCCCAAACCACCCCAATGATGCCCTTGATGTGATGTCCCGCTGCCTGGAGGCAGGTCTGGATGGGGAGAAATAGGCTCAAGCTCAACCCTTTCAAGACTGAGTGGCTGTGGCTTCCGGCGTCCCGGTATAGTCAGCTGATCCCATCGCTGACTATTGGGGGTGAATCTTTGCCCCCCACAGAGAGGGCTTGCAATCTGGATGTCCTCCTGGACTCACGGCTGTCTTTAGAAGAGCATATGACGGCCGTAGCCAAGGGGGCTTTTTATCAGGTTTGCCTGATTCGCCAGTTGCGTCCCTTTCTAGACTGGGACACTTTGTGCATGGTCACTCACACCCTCGTCACCTCCCGGCTGGACTATTGTAATGCTCTCTACATGGGGCTCCCCTTGAAGAGCACTCAGAGGCTCCAACTGGTCCGTAACCTCGTTACGCCCATGTAACACCTCTCCTGCGCGAGCTGCACTGGCTCCCAGTGGTCTTCCAGGTGCAATTCAAGGTGTTGGTCACCGCCTTTAAAGCGCTCCATGGCATAGGACCAGGATATTTACAGGACCGCCTTCTGCCACCAATAGCCTCCCACCGACCAGTCCACTCCCACAGAGAGGGACTCCTCAGGGTATCGTCGGCCAAGTTATGTCGGCTGGCGATACCCAGGAGAGCCTTCTCTGTCGGAGCTCCTGCCCTTTGGAATGAATTGCCCCCGGATATTTGTAACATCTCTGACCTCTGGGTCTTTCGCTGGGCCCCAAGACCCTACTGTTCCGACAGGCGGGGCTGTCTAACTGAATTTTAAATTGGGTTTTAATATTGGGTTTTAAAATTTGGCCAAAACTATTTAATGATTTTAATTAATTTTAACTATGATATTGTATATTTATGTTTTTAATCTTGGCTGTACACCGCCCTGAGTCCTTCTGGAGAAGGGCGGTATATAAATAAAATTATTATTAATTATATTATTTATTATTATTATTATTATTATTATTATTATTATTATTATTATTATTATTATTATTATTTTCTTTTGGTATGACCAAAGTCATTTAATGAAGTAGACTTTTAATGACTTAATGAGTTTTAAGATTATTTTATTTTGCCCACAAGAAAGGAGTAACAAATGGAATACAATCACGAAGTACCAAATATCAGATGCACATAGTTATTATAGTCAGTGGTTAGTGCATCTAATAACTGTTATTTCTTCTAACTGAACCATTATCGGGCATCAGGAGAACGAGTGAAAGGCTATGACAGTATAGATGCAATCCAAGCCATGCTGTGCACATTGTACTTCTGCTGCAGAATTGCAGACCTGGTTTTTGTGGAATTCAGTGTTAGGAAGTATTATGTAAACACACACTGTAGCAAGTATATCCATTTGAATACTAAGAAGAATAAAGAATCAGACTTTTAATGTTTCTGATACTACATAAAAATTGTATCAATTCAGTCTTAAAACAATATGCAAAATAGGTTAGTATTATTAATTTCCTGTAAACATTTTCTATGTCACTTTGCTACTGCTAAAAACAGTAGCTCTATATTCCTCTGCTGAGACTTATGCCCTATCTCTCCTCTTTATGGACTTTACTACAAAGCAGGGAACTTTGTAACAGAAGGATATAGACTTTCTACTACCAGTTTCTGGAAATAATGCACACTTGGTGGGAAAACACTCAAAGGGAACTCCCACAAAGTTCAAACTGACTGTTGAGTAGAAGAAATAGACAGACGGACAGAAGCCACTGTCCTGGAAGGGGGCATAGGTAACATCCATCAAGAATCACTGATTCAACTGGATATTGCTAATAGTCAATTATTAGCAGGATGGTTTGTCAAATTGTATGTTTTATATGGCCATGAGGATTTTTAATAAGTAATGTTCAGTGGGACTGAACATGGGACAGTTTTCCCATTTAGTTAGCCAAATAATTAGCTAAAGAAAGATAACTGCTTCTCCACTGACACTGAAACAGAACACTTTGCTAGTCAAAACAATTTTAACACATACACTACACTTTTATCATGCGTATCAATATTACTAACTAACCAATGGTGATAACATGATAAAATAGAAAACAATCATCCTCAAATATACTAAGCCAATTTAGGTCCATTATATTCTTCAGTTTTTAGATACCTTCCTGGTTCTTTGTAGTAGTCATGTGATTGCCAAGTTATTGTTAAAACTCATCCTTAATAGTGAAATGTGGCTGATCTTCAGGTTTAAAGTTTGGGTTAGGGCTGCCATCTTCATTGAGAATTCTTCGGGCAGTGTAGCCAACAATAGGATATTTGGTCTTGTAAACATTACTAAAGGTCTCATCCAGAGATCGCAACTGCTCTTCTGTGAGTCCCGTCTCAATGAATTGCAATTGTGTAAAAAAAGAAAGATGGAGAGGAAAGGGGAGGGGTAGACAGAACAAATATGATTATTGTACACCTCCATGCTATGTAATGTGAATGCAAAGGGCTACTAATTGCACTAAACCAGTTTTTTCAGAGGTCTGTACTTTTCTATTTTTAAATCCCTCCCCAAATCCCACCATCTTTAATTATCCTGTACTTGGATCAGATCACTAGGACCAATAAAGCCACGTGCAAATAAAATCATTCCTTAGTAGTGGCTTCAGATCAAGCTATGCTGAAAAGATCTTTTTCTTACTGTATCGTAAGTGAGGTCTACTGGATCAAGGGACATTTTTGCAACACTTCGGGTTGAATCTTTGCCAGCTAGTGCATTGTAAGGTGCTCCTTTCCCATAAAATTCTGTTGGGGAAAAATAACACAAATAACAGTTAACACAGGACTTAAGATTCTTAGGATCTCTCTCACACACAGACAGACAGATAGTCTGAGGTATTTCGAAGATTACACTCTTTTAAGAATTATCGTAAATTATATCCCAGGCACTTCATCGTTCACAAGCCTAGAATTAAGTGTTGATATATTTTGAGACTTCTAGAGATTGGTTTACTTTATCCTGGCTTTGCATGATGTCAGGCCCTTAAGTTCTAAAACTAGATGTTGGCTTATCTTCAACTGTGTATCAAGAGAAGCACATCCATGATTCAGCTTGTCTTGAACCAACTTTAATACAATATAAATATCCTAAACTACCGAAATCCTCCAACATTTTGAAGCCTTAACAACAACACACAGAAGGAGCAGGCATATTGCAAACAGTCAGTAATCTAAGAGGTAGTTTACAGAGTGAAATGGTGATCAGAAAGGGAAAGGGAAATAAAGAAAAGTAGAAATGAAGTACACAGTCTCTCCAACCAGGGAGCAACGAATGCTTGACTGCATTCTGTGAGCTGTTGTCCAAAATTCTTGGAAAATATCAAATTGAAAAAGGCAACTATACATTTGGATGATTCCAAAACTGGGGGAAAGAAAATGCCCATTGGAAGCTACATTCACAGAATATAAGGACATACTTCCAATTAAAGTAAGAAAGATGGAACCTTCACTCTGTGTCAAATTTCTGTATTATGTGGTCTTATGCCGTACAAGGTAGAACTGCATCATCATCTACTACTACCTCCAGAAGTTTTTCTCAAAAATACTATTTGGCCAAAACTTTATGTCATGAATGGTAGGAATCTAATAACTAGATTCCCAAACTTTACTTAAACAACTGCCCATTTCCAGCTATTTGCCTTATACTTCTATATACATGCTACTTATGTCCCTTTTTAATAACCTTGTGGTAAAGTATATGAATGGCGCATCTTTTCCTACCAACACTAATAATGGATATATTGCATTATGTGAAGAGATGTACATTCAAACTATTTAAAAGTTATCAGATGGGATTTTGAGATAAGCTATTCAGATTTGGATTTGGTTGCTGAATCTTTTGAAGCAGCAATAGTTTTCAAACTGTTTGTATTCCTCTCAGAACCCTGGTTTGAAATTGAACACTTCAATGAGTAAAGGCAAGCCAGGCAGAAATAACTGAGGTTTGGAAATCCAGGAGGAAAGCAAGTAGGAACTTGCTCCCCTTGATTTTAAACAGTGGCAAAATGAATATCCCTGGGGCAGCAGCACTAGACTCTTACAAATATATGAAACTATTGCTACATAGTTACTACAAGCTTGCCGCAAAGACAAAGACAGGAGAAGATCTAGGTTACTCTTCAGATGAAATTAGCACAGAGGGCTGCTGAATGAATAAAATCTGGCATTATACACAAGTGCTGTCCTTCTAAACAGATTTGAGCAATCTGTGGCCTTCTTAGCTGATGTTGGACTACAAGTCCCAGGATTGCTCACCATCAATCATGTTTGGAGCTTATAGGAGCTGAAATTCAACAACTGGAAAGGTAAAGGTTATCCAGCTCTGGGAATTAAGGATAATAAACATCTGGAGGGGGGAACCTAGGTAGCAGCATTTATAAATGAGAGGAACACCTTTTTTCAGCATATCCTCAGGCAGTTGCCTTTGCTCTTTAAAAGGGCCATCTGGTTAAGGTGACAACACCAAGATATACTTATTGTGAACCATACTGAAGGGGGGGGGACATTCTGCTTGTAAAGTGATCTTACCTTTTCCAGAAGTGACATCAAACACCACACCCTTCACAGCTATATAAATAGGTTCATCCTCCTGAAAGTAGAGTTTATATACTTTATCATGAAATGTACTGATAAGAAACACCAATAGCATACTGTTTACCTGGTCATTGTTTTTTTCAAGAAAACCAAAAGTCACTTAACCAGAACTTGAAGGTTCTTGTCTTTAAAGAGGAAAGCCTGTTCACATTAACAAAGAGATGTTACAAAAAAATCTACAGAATAAACTTGAGCAGAGAAATCTCTGATTGGTGTAAATAAAAAGAGAAGTCTGTAGCACTGAATGTACTAGATATAGAGTGGTTGTTAATGGGTGAGGAATTTGTGGTTCTCCAGAGGTGGCTGATAAGCTTTACAACCCAAATCTCTTTACTCTTGGCCATGATAGTTTGTGTTGCTCAGTGTTACTTCAAATGCAGCCGGAAGGCCCTGGTTTCATTGCTTCTGAAAATTTCTACATCAAATTCATTTATTAATGAAATAAAAACAATAGAGGTTATCATATCCATTGATATAACATGTGCAAATGAAAGTTATGATTGCTAAGGTATAATTAGTTCCCCCCCTTTTTTTTGAATGAAGAGCAAAGCAAAAATTTACTGCATACATTAGGAAATGCCTTTAATATTTACAAATAACCTTGGATTTCTTTCTTTTGTCCTTAAGTGTCCTTATAAGCATAAGAAACTCTGTCCAGTTTATCATAAGGGTATCTATGTTACATTTTTTAAAAAAATTATATAAGTATAACCCAAAGCTCCATGTTGCCATGAGCATCCTTCTAAAGACCCCAAACAATCCAGAATAGTGGGATTTCTAATCATGGCCATTTTTAGGAACAAAATTGCAGGCACTAAAGGCACTCATTTTCCCGTTAAAATGCCAGGACTCCCCCCAAACAGACCGTAGGTGCATTTATTTTTGCATTGCAGTCGAACTCTACCCAACCATACCCCAAAAGCAAGGAAAAGGTGCTACAACAAAGTTTTGGAGACAGTGTGAAAACCTCACAGTTTCGTCCTAACGCGCAGCATATCCCAATTTGGGCAGTCACGTTTTCAGGCTGTACAAAAATCTTCCTTGTGGCTTATCAAGGCTGATTAACTACAAGGCAAAATATGCCGCCTAACAAATTTCGCCGAGTTCAAAGAGATGACAAGCCCGGGAGGTCCCTACCTCGCCCTCCGCAGAATAACTTCGGTCCGTTCCGGCCGAAAGCTCCAAGGCGGGATTCGAAACGCGCAGAACTGCTCCAAGTCCTGTTGTTGCAAACGGAGTCCAGAGGGCGCAGCTTCTGCTACCTCTTTTCCCGAGAAAAGGCCTCCTCCCCCGCCCCCGGGAAAGCGCCCCCCCCCGAGAAGGCCCGTCCCAGCAACCCCCGGGGGGGGCAGCCTTTCCGAAAGCTTTGCCCTACCTTGCGTCCGTCGTACCTGGCCAGCTCGTCTTCCGTGAAGAGCCGCACCGGTCTCTGCGAGGGTGGGGGCTTGAAGCGGAGCTCCTGCTCTCCTGGCGCCTCCTGAGGGCCCGCGAGGGTCAACGCTAGCAGGGCCAACGCCAGGCGGCGGCCTAGGGCCATGGCTCTCGGGCGGCGGGCGGCTTCCAAATCCGGCCGAGAGAGGAGGCTGGCGAGGGAAACGCCTTCTCGGGGCTCCTCGTGCTTGCGTTGTTCGTCTATTCAGCCACTCCGTTTATACGTCGCCTCATCCTGGAGGCTCCAGACTCAAGAAAGAGTCCTTCCTATCCCTTCCCTTTGCTTAGTTCGAAAAAGCCATGGATGATTCCCGGATGAGAGGGTCCTTCAGCTATTCAGAACAAAACAAAGAATCAAATCACTGGCGGAGTGGGAGAGGAGAGAAGGAAAAAATAATAATTAATTGTTTGACTGATTAAAGCAAGGATGTCCAAACTTGGCCCCTTGAAGAGTGGTGGACTTCAACTCCCAGAATTCCCCAGCCAGCAACTTGTTCATATTTATAGCGCATGCGGGCTGAGGGAATTCTGGGAGTTGAAGTCCATCACTCTTCAAGGGGCCAAGTTTGGACTCCCCTGGATTAAAGCAATTTCTACCTTGCAATGCTAATGTAAAGTTTAGTTGCAGATTTTGAATGACTCCGGGCACTCAGATGGTGCTGTTCATCTGTAGTTCTGAATTCGAGATTGCCTATCTCGGAATAAGGCCATAAATTTAATTAAAAAGTACTACAACTGAAAACAACATTTAAAAATAACTGTAAACATTCTTTTATTCTTGGGTTTTGTTTTCCGTGTTGGAAACGGGTTATATTGTTAAAGTGGATAGCTGAAAACCTCTGCCGACTAGCATGCCTATAATTTCAGAAATATATTTAAATGCCCACTTTTTCTTAACCAGTGCTCCGGTGCTGACTGCTTGATTTACAAGTACAAGGTGCTGTGGTTTCGTTTTCTTGGTTGTCTCTTATTAACTCTTCAAATACTGCAAACCAAGCCTGATCATGCATAGTACTGTATTTGCTTAAATTCTACTTTATAGTATCAATAAAGCATCAGAAATGATTGATCTGGAAGCCATCAAGCTGTATACACAGAAGATGTTTGTGCAACAAGTGGCTTTAAGTGATTAAAATGAGTCATTATTACTTTTACAGTGAGGTATATAATAATAATAAAGAGGTAGCTGCTATACTTACTGCTAGCAAGAATACTAACAATCAAAAGAATTGACAATACTCTCCAGAATTCACCTGTGTCATATTAAAGGAAACTTCTTTGCTACCATGTGGTACTCATCTGGATATCTGCAGCTCAGGTATGGTTATTACGGTATGTTATACATATTGATGTATGATAGCCCTAATGATAGCCACATTTCACTATTAAGGATGTCTTTTAACAATAACTTGCTTTCTATTTATTGAGGAGTTGGTGTAAATCCTGTTTACTAAGGCATGCTTCCAAGCCTATCTGCAATCTTGTGCACATTAATTAAATCCCATTTATTTTTTTAAAAAATATTAACTTAAATTGTTGGTTATTTAAATTATGCTAAATTTATCAGATATATACTGTTAACGGACACCGGGCACTCAGTTTGTTGCAGCTCTTAGATATAACCGTTCTATCTCCCGCATACATTCTTCATACCTTCAACCTATTTCCTGAATGGGCTAACCCGGCCGAACAGCATCCGGTTAAGGGTAAAGCTTCTTGAGACGCCAGAGAGCGCTGTACTCGATAATAAACTACATCTCCCAGCAGTCTTTCTGCTTCGACTTCAGTTCCGCAACCGGTGTCAGTAATACGTTGTACCAGTAACGGCCAGAGCGGTGGAAGAAGATAAACTAGCGGCACCTTGTGGAGTCGGTGCGTTACATGCGCTTGCGCTATTGGTCGGATCATGTCCGCGCACTTGGTGGGCACTGAAACGCGGCGTGCGGAGCGGCGCTGCCTCTTCGATGGCTGCTGCTTCGATTTCGTCCCCGCTTTCTCTTCATAGATGCCGCTGTTTGATCCGGTTCTCCCCTGCGCTTTCTTTTCGCCGGTGCCATGATTAGACAAGAGAACTCGTCATCTTATCAAGAGGTATTGGGAGAAAAGCGGGGAGGGAGGCGCAGTGTTTGCACTCTGCTGATACGAGGCTGCCTGCAGGAGAGAGGCTTTGTATGCGATCGGCGCTTAATGTTACAGCTTGGCGGCGTCGAGAAACTATTAGCCTGCACCGAAAAGTCGGTGCCTTTGCACGGTCACAAGCAAGCAAGCAACAACAACAATATAAACTTCGGAAGGAAGTCCCGCCAAAGTTCAACGAGACTCACTCCAAAGTAATAGTACAGTCCTGTGGATGTCGTAGTAGACAAAGGGCTATATCGGGGCAGACACGCATAGGTGTGCCCCCTTCACGCTACAAGTATGCGTATGTGTATCCTCAGCGTTGCCGCTGTGGATGCATCGGAATGCCGAGTTTAAGCGAGTCCAGCTCGAGCAATTTAAGGAGAGAGCAGCTCAAGCCCCTGCAGAGCTCCATGCAGGCGGAGAGGATGCCCTTTGAACAAACTGGCTGTGGATCGGACTCCTGTTAATCCAGAATTTTAGGTCATGGTAACAAGCCCACTGAAAGCTGGAAACTTTTCTTCTTATTAAAGATTAGTAGGACTGGATTGTATTAGGTTTTTTTCTTCCCCCTAGAATTTAAAGCAGTTTTTTTAGGCAAGATGGCAAGAATTCAGAAATAGGCTTTCTGAATTAAAGTGCTTCCAACAGCACTTTAAAAAGCTCTGGAAGCTGCATTTGAATTTTATTTATTAAATTTATATGCTGCCTGCCTCACCATCCAGGGTGACCCAGTACCTGTACCTTAGGCACCCTTTCTTCAAAGATACAATGTACAGCCATGTTTTTTTCAACCTTGGAAACTTTAAGGTGTATAGACTTCAACTTCCAGAGAATTCTAGATTACAGGGTTTTTTTGATCTACAAAAGGTTATGTGTCATAGTTAAATATTAGTCTTATAGATGCCTAAAGATTTTTGTTGTTACTCTGCTTTGTGGTATCAGACCAATATATTGGCTCCTCCAGGAAGAACCTTAAAGAGTAAGGTTTAGGAAAAACTAAAACATTGTATTACAAGTTTTTATTATGCAATTGAAATAAGACCAAAATCCAGGCTTTAGAGTCTTCCAAAACTTTTCTTGAAGCTTTGTGAACACAGTAAAAACAAAGCAAGGGCTGATAGACGTTCTGATTATGTGAAAGTCAGCAAATTTCAATTTGTCTTCATTAAGCACTGCATTCAAATGTGTTCCATTTGAAGAACATTTTGGAAAAATATATGTAACTGCCAATATAGGGCAATAATTCAAGGATTCCAAGAAACTAACCTGTATGTTAGTTTCTAAAGTGTCACGTGTTCTTGGCTTTGTTGGTTGTCATGTTTACTCAGAAGTAAGTCCCCAGTGAGTTGAAAGAGTTTATATACTCATTTCCCCTTTCCTGTGATTGATGGATATTGTAGATCACAGGGGTCACGCTCGATCGCGTCAGGGGCCGGATTGTGATGTATCGTGACATTTTTTGCCTTTGCAGAGGTGGGGTGGGCATGGCCTGCGTGTGACATATCCGGCCCACAGGCTGCCAGTTTGACAGGTTTGTTGTAGGTCAACACATCTGGAGGGCACTGGACTTGGAAAGACTGCTCGAGTAATACTGCAAGGAGATGTTATCCATATGTTACCTAACGTAGTTGAGGCTGCTTTTGTTTTACATCAGTTTCACTCTTCATTCCCATAGAATTTAAATTTACCCTCTCTCTTGGATTTTCACAATAAAAGAAGCTGGCTTAAAGCACTTCTTTTTAATTCTAATTATTGTTTAGTGTTTTATTTCTCTGCGCATATTTTAAGAAAAAAAACCATTGTGCTGCCTTTTGCATGGAACAGCTTTTAAATTGCTGCATTGCTTCTCTGCTTGGCAGATCTGTGTGCAAGCAAATAGGCAGGAAAAGGAAGGTGAGAGAGTACTGCTGGCTGTCGAGATAAACAAGCCTATACAGACAGACAGACACTTTTAAATGCATTTTTAGAAAGCTCAGGAAATTGGCTGTGTGTTTGCATTCACTTGGCTTGGTCAGACTGAGTTGTGGTGACAAATTCTCTGCTGGTCCCCATGACAGAGTCGGAGCTTTAGGCTTCTTGTTTTGCATATCAATAAATCAGCTGCTGCAATCATAAGTCTGTATGCGTTCCTGTTTCTCCTTCAGCATAAAGAGCAGCTTTCCTTAAAACAACACTGTCCAGGTGCTCTGTATTACCACTCCATCAGTCAATCAGCAGACTGGCTTGGCTGATGGAGTTGTAATCGAGTGTCCCTGGATAGCATCAGCTTAGGAAAGGTTGCTAACTGTGGCAACAGTTTAATTTCTTAAATCTGAAGGGAAACGAAAAAGTTTTGTAACACCAGATGATTTTTATAGAATAAATTTAATCTGTAAACAAGTTGGCCGTTTTGTTGTAGCTTTTATATTCACGTACTGAGGAAAAATCATTGTCTTTAATCGGGAGCATAGTTGAAGAATATTCATTTCTTTTACAACAAATTTGTTGCTACAACAAATTGTGGCTGCTGTGTGGAACATTCCTGTTTGGGATTCCACATGAGTTGCAAGCATCTTGTCTCCTTCATCCTCAACTGACATTGTTGTTTCGTTCCCATTGAATCTCTCTTCACTGAGCTCTCTCTCAGAAGAGCAGGGCTCCCGAGAAGGAAAAGGTTTTTGAATTTTCTATTGTAAACTTAAGGTTTCCCTAAGTTTTGGCTACAGAAGCAATGATATAAGTGTCGTAAGAGCAGACTGTGAGGTAACTGAAAGCAGCCATCTTACTGTCAAGATTCAAAGGATTCTATGGCCTAACACTCATCATTTTCTGAACTTTGGTTAGGTTAGTTCTTGAACACTTGCAAAGAAGAGAGCTAATTTGGAATTCATCTACAGTTTTTAATCAACAAAATAACTGGAAGGGTAAGGAATGAACCAAGCAAACTGAAAGTAGTGTTAGGCAACATTAAAAAAAAGAAGAAGTCATGGTTCAAAAATGGAATGG